CCCCCCACCTTCCGCCGCATCGACCTCTTTGCGTCAACCTTCTACCTTATTGCCAGTTAGCAACAACTCCCCAGTGCGTTGATGAACATTTTGGCAGAATAGATGTCTGTCTGTAACACAACCATAACGTGACAGGCAAAACACATATATTATGGTGACATACTCGTAGAGCGGTAGCTGGTCTGTCTGAACAGAGAACACATTGGTTTGTTAAGGTAAAGAATTAGTGTGCAACCCTTTCCCCCTTCCTGGACTTTCCATCAAACATATACATTTTAGGGATGCTATAGGATTGTAATCAGCGATCGTATAAAGATCAGATCAATACTGACTGGAAATTTGTTTAATTCAGTCCGTTAAATCAAATTAATAACATACAGCTGAATAATCTATAAAAATCTCACTGACAGTTTTTGTTGTTCTTATTTGAGAAAGAGTTGGGGCGAGATAGGATACTCTGTGACTACAGGAATCTCTCACTGGAACTTTGGGTGTGAACGTCGGCTTTGACTAAAAGAGGACAGACAAAAAATATCAAAACAAAAACAACAACCACACATAAAAAACCTCAAACAAACGAAAAGGCCGACAGCCACAGGAGATATGACAATACACAATTACTCCTGATCCAACACTTGATATAAAATACGACATCACACTACTTTCTCTGGACCCCCCTGCCACCCTCCGCTCTAAATTGTGTGACCCGTCAGAACAAAGGAAAGGAAGATCGTCACATTTTCAAAAGGTAATACTAGACACCTTTTCCATTCCACTTGTTTTTTAAACACTTTTTTTAGGCCAGGACAAAACTCCTACATTTACGAAACAATTTCTTTTTTTTTTAAAATTGAGGGCCATTTTAGTCGGTTCATTAGCACTCCAAACCTACGAGCGCTGTTAAGTGAGATGTCAATGCTAGACCGATACTCACAAGACGTTCGCCCCATTTCTGTGACGTGGCAGGTTATGGACTTGCCATGATGAGAAAAATGATTCGAATAAGAGCGGAGTCTAATAAATCCTTTAAAAAAATCCCTTCAAATATAGTTCGACTCTTCATGAAGTCTGCTGGCGTCTGTGGTGTAGCGGTTAGGCGCTTTACCGTCGCAAGCAGAAAATTCTAATTTAATTCCCATATGTGAGGCAGCGTGGTGGAATCAGGCTCTCGTCAATTTTGAGACATGTAGAGTTAGTGGTATCATCTTAAAGCTTGTTCATTTTCTTTATTTGGATGAAAAAAAATCATTTTTAATGAATACAAGTCGAGATATTTGCAAATAAAGGAGGTCGGGGTCACCTGTTTTCAGAGGTAAAATTAGTGAGAAAATGGCCACCAAAGAATAGTTATTTCCTTAGATTAAGAGTCCGTGGTAACTGAAAATTTACTTTTTTTTGTGCATTTAATCAACGTTTTTCAGAAAAATCCACACAGAAATGAGTTCTTTTAATGGGCATGAAAGGTGTTCAGCCAAAAAACGAAAATTTGATAAAAATTCACAAACCTGCGGAAAAATGCAAGTTTCTTTACTTTGATTATTTTGACGAGAGCCTGATTCCACCACGCTGCCTCACATATGGCGAGAACTTTGATCGAGTATTTGTGTTGTGATGTTGTATCGCTCCCAGGCCAGGTTGGCCCACGGAGGCAGGTTCGAAGCCCGCTTCCTAAATATTCTGTAGCATTGTGTTGAATGGGGCGTGAAAAACCTATATTATTTTTAAAATCCCCGAGTCCAGACGAAGGAACCCAGTACTAGGCTTTCAGTATCATCCTTATTGTGCCTAAAGATGCGTTTAACTTCAGTTAGAGCAAAAGGATGTGGACTCTGTACCTTGTGAGCACCGAGAGTAATAAGTAGTTGTCAGTATTCTAGCACATAGAATGTACTCGTAACTTAAAGATTGCGACAGGTGATCTGCCTGCCTCACATCATCGTTGATTGGAGACAATGGGTTCTGCCATGCTAGTGATGGACTGTATCGGACAGAAAGAAAAAGAAATGGGTGAGAGAGGGGGTCTAAACTCTTTAACTCACAGAATTAAGTAAAATGATTACTCTTTCATGCTGAACAAACAATCTTTCCTTGCATGCTTATTAATTTTCACTGTGGTGGTTGAGATATTGACGGAGCACAACATGAATTGTTTTTTTGAAACCCATAAGAAAATATTGCCTTTAAAATTTAACTTCTTATTAGAAACCGGTACGTAATTTTCAAAGGCTGAGAAATGTGTTTACCTTCAGGACACTGAGCCTGGAAGTAATACTCCTATAAGGCAAGGCAACTAAATGGAATCCATTCAGAATTCAAACATCAAACTTTTTGTGTGGAATTAATTTCTGCTAATATAAGACCATGGTGGCCAGTCCGTGAAGGAGGCACGTCCTTGTGTGCTTGTGTGGAAAATACTGTACCAAGGCAAAATGACAATGAGATGAAACACAGGAAAACAGCTACATGTATCGTGGCTGGTGATGGAGACGTGTCGTGTTGGTGAACGTACAGGTGAAAGCACTCCGTGTTATGGCTGTTTTGTCTCGGTATCGTTTTTCTTCTTTTGTCGGTCTGTGAACTATGCTCGAACTTTAGACTACATGCAACCCAATATTTATGTATATCTTTATGCTCGAATGGATTGGCCTGAGCAGCTTTCAAAAACTGTTGTTACCAATTGGCAATCCTTCAGTAGCTGAACCGTATCCCCTGAGTCTCACACTGACTACCCGAAATTTACAGATTTTGGTGACGAATGTAAGAGAAATTATCAAGATCTATTTATGTACTAACTTGAACATTTAAACTCCATTTGTCACAAAACTATTGGTACACTTCTTTTTTTCTCTAAACTATATGATTAACAAACCTGTTCATACAATTTTATGAGAAGAGAGTGCCGCCCGTGTGTTCTTTCCCCCCAAAAAAGTATTTTCATAAAGTAGACCCAACTCTTTTGACAACGATTCAGAATCGTTGGAAATTGTAGAATTATCTTAATTTGCGTATATCTGGTTAAATGGTCTCTTGGGCTACATCTCAAGAGACTTGGTAAGCTAGGCTAAGTAACGTTACGGTTCGGTATAGTACGGTGTATGGTATGGTATGGTATAAGAACGTATAGTATTTGTTTTTTGTTTTTGTAAAGTGTTTTACGGCGCTCGCAACTGCATAAGGTCATATGGGCGCGCGGGACACACCTAATATTTTTCAGTTGGTAGGAAATTTTCAATTTTGCCCGGGTGGCGGCCGAAGCCTACTCTTATCGATTTTAGACCACCAAGGGATTTTTAACGTGCGCAATTTGCACACGGGCCCTCCGAGATTTTTCGCCCTTGTCCGAGAAGGCTAGGAGTAGATCTTTCCTACCAGAAGACCAGGGGTGTGGCAGAAAGACAGCAGTAAGGAGGAGCCATGGAGTAGCAGTAGAAAGGCTGCAGAAAGAGTCAGGAGTCCAGAGGAGGGGGCAAAGAAGGTAAGGGGTGGGGGCAGAAAGTGGAAATGAATGCAGACAACAGAACATTGCTAGAGAGCAGGAAAGGAGGTGAAAGGAAACAATTTTAGAGAAGAAAATTTTTTGGTCGCTACCCGGATTCGAACCCTTGACCTTTGAATGAGAGTCCAACACCTTAATCTCTAGGCCACGTGAGCCCCCCAAAGTATAGTATAGTATGGTATAGTAAGGTATGGTATGGTATAAGAATGTATAGTATAGTATGGTATGGTATGGACAATACGTATCTGTTGTTTGTGCGGCTGAGACCTATATGTTTTGAGGCTTCATGATAGTTCTGATCAACAAAGCAGGTTGGCAGTAGAGCTCTTTTTGAAGAGGTCAACCCGTAATCTTTTCAGTATTACTATATGACTGATCACTTCTGGGCGAAATGCAATCATTGCCGTGCCAACTAGCCATAAACTACAGCTCGTCTCTGCTCAGTTTAAGATGCCATACGTTCAGGGCTCCTGCCTTGATCTCCTCACATAAATAGGAACATTACATGCTGTGCAATGTGGATTGGATTTCGGCCTTGCTGAAGTAATCACAAAGAAATATAACTATAGTTTAGTGTATATTTGTGTGAGTTAGCGTCTCATTTCATTAAATAGTTTTTTTTCATAGGCGAGGCAAGTGGCCCATGGGTAAGCAGAAAGGGAAAAAGACAGGGCAAAGAGGCACAAGTATTTCGCCGATATTTCTGAGCAAAGTTTTCGTGTGTTGAATGTACTGTTAGTCAGCATAAAGATTACTTTTTGGCCCCCACCACTGAAAAGAGAGAGAGAGAGAGAGAGAGAGAGAGAGAGAGAGAGAGAGAGAGAGAGAGTATGTGTGTGGGGGATGGGGGTGGGGTAAAAGACATAGAATTACAATATATCCAATTGCATGCACTTTAATGTCGTTAGCATTAAACATCTACAGATCATACTAAAAGTATTGACTTTCTTAACTACTCAGAGAATTGAACAGTTTTCATCGATAAGCAGTCGTTGTGTGGTTCTTGAAGTCGTATGTCTTTTTCCTGATCTTTTACTGATCAAATTGGTTCGATATCGGGGTAAAAAAAATCACCCAAGCTGGGCACTAAACAAAGAGCATTTGGAGTCTTTTGGAAAGGACTATGGCACTGACTGATTTTTCAAATCTGATGTTATATGATTACCCAGGAGACAGGCAGTCGAATCCAAAGAAATCAAATTTCCAATGTTTTGCAGTTCAAAAGACTGATTTAAGGAAAATATTTGGAACCTATTCCTTTCGATTATCCTTAGCACTTTTTGTTAATTTAACAATCTTATTTAAGCCAAAGTTTTTGTAGTTTGAGAATCACTGTCATTGAACATATTTAGCGCAATAGTACTATGATATCTCAAGCAATTTCTTGGCTTGTGATTGTGGTAGATAACGTCTGTTAAAAGATGTGCAGCTGAAGTAACTTGAATCACCTCGCTATTGGTGACAGGCTTCTCAAGGTGTGTTGAAGATTTGAGACCAATGGTTACTAACGATTTTTCGGAATGTCTGGGCGCTTAGGTCCATTCTTCTTGTTGGTGATCGACGCCAAAACGCACAAGCGGCACTTGGGGAGAGGGCAGAAGATGGTGAACAGAATTATGACTAAATTCTTCCTGAAGCTGGAGTTGAGAGTGAGGTAGCAGACAAAGACGAACTGGGCAGCAAGAACTTGACACATCATGAAAGCAGAGTTCATGAGGAAGAACAGGTAGTGCTCTCGAGTACCCATGCCGTAGTCCGAAACGAAGTCAGCGACCGTTTGATTTGTACTGACTGGTAGGTACATAACCACAAACAGGGCTGTGCACACAAGAACCATGATGGTCATGGACCGTTCGTTCTTCTCTCGAGCTCCGCTTGTTTTCTGGGTGTTGCGTACGCCGCGCATTTTACGTTTGTGTAGGACGAGTGTGACAGTGGTACCGATGTTGGCGGCAGCTGTGAGAACGAGAGAAAGGTGCATGAAGAGGTACATGATGGAGTGTTGCAAGTCACGAAAGAGGGGATAATTTCTTATGGCCAGACCACTCAACCTCGCACCGCTTGGGCCCACATCGTACATAAAGGCCATGTAGCTGTGAAAACTCAGAGAAACCAACAGTACACAAAGCGATGTTAAGGTGGGGTGGTTCAGCAAGAAGGATGTCTTGGCTCTAAGGGGAAAGGCGATAGCTATAAATCTTTGGGTAGCAACGAGGCAGTTCAGGACTTGGACACTTCGGCGACACGAGATACCTACGTAAGAACCGAGCCAAAAATTCGCATAGTGGTACGCTGGGCGCTGGTTACAGCCTGGTGTTATCTTGCACAGTTGGTACACAGACAACATCGTCATGTTGAACGATTCGGCAAAGTTCAAGGCCACTAGATATAAAGTGGTTGCGTTCCGCTTCCGGTCCAGCAGAAAAACGATCGCGCTGAGAGCGAGACAAACAGCAGCTGTAGGCTCCCCAACTGCCTTGACCATACCAAAGATATTGTCTAGATAGATATACTGCTCTCTGCTCACTGAGCCACGGATGAGGATGAAACTGACAAATGAGGAGGAATTCATTATTTATGAAGCGACGCACAGGATGTTAAAAGATAATCTCTGTTTGGCACTTAAGCATACAGTTATAACTTTGCGTTGGTGAGACACGTTTTGTATAGGGAAGGTATATGATATCCTTAATATAGACGCCTACCAATCTTTTCAACAAGGAAGTTTTCCTTTGTATCGATTAAAACATTGAAACCATTATTGTTGTTTGTTATAACTATGCTTCAATTTGAGCATCCTAATTTGAATATCTCGTTTATCCAGACTTCGTGGAAACAAGAATATAAAAATCCGACATAGTGAGAAATAAGACGAATTACTATAAGTTTGTAACGCGTTTAAGACACTCTTTAAATGTAAACATTTTTTTTTTTACATGATGTTTGAAATGCCGTTTTACGAGCCTCCTCAAGCTCATCATAGAAAAGCAAAACCATGTTTTAACCAAATGGCAAATTCTAAAGGCAACATAACAAAGAGCAGTCTTTTCGAGTCGCAGGGAAAAATGTCGAACGTAAAAACCAGCAAATGTGCACTCTGTGACATAGGCAACTCAACACATCATAGTGAATCATGTATATGCAGTGCGATCGATTATTAATGGAGTAAATGGTTCTTTGGTTTAAAGGTTACATCATCCTTCATTTCCTCGTACCTTCCCCAATGACGTTATCTAAACTCACAAGTGTCCTGGCCACAGTGGTTTCTGAGAGCACCTGACAGCCAGAGAGAAGAACTGGTTGAGGAGGTTTGACATTCGTCAAAGCTCATATCATTTAAGTCTTACAGGTCAAAGGCTCTTAAATGATAATGAAATTGCCAGATATTCTTAAGTGAGCTTATCGAAGAGGAACTCAATCCAACGTTGAAGGTGTACATAGGAGGCTGAGCATTCTTTTAAAATCTTTTAATGGGACCTGTTGGTCTACTTTCTAAATAATGGCATAGAACTGGATGCAATTGGCTCTGTGTATTACCAATAAAATCTCAAACTAGGAAGTTCACCGCTAGCTTGACTTGTCTTCGTCTTATCCCTTTCAAAGTCTTCATCTTTCCGTAAATTATGCGACTCTACGAGTACTTCTCATTGGCTCCAATAGGTCTGTATGTCCTGTTCCAAATTGTCTACTCTTGATGGTTGTTAGTGAACATGTATCTTGGCATGGCTTTTCGCCGGGTTCAAAGAATTACGCGTTATCTTATTCTGCTGCTCATTATCTTTGGGTTACGATGCTTTTCCTGCACACTTCCATTATCTACTTAATAGTTTCTTTTGTTGTTTGTTGTTGAGCCGTGTGGATATAGAATACTTTTGCGAGTTGACAGGGATTGTAAAGACTCATTCTCTGGTGATTATTTTGATTGGAATTTGTATAATGTTCAGACACTGCTCTCATACCTTTTTTTTCCTTATTTCTTTGTTCCTCGCTCGCCCCATTGTCTCCAAATACGTGAAGTAACGTACGCCTTAAAACAAAATAAGCGTTGTAGAGTTGACGAAATCGTAGATATGTGAGAACTGCACTACGCAGAAGGAGCAGCGCCTCTAACAGTAAACGGCCAAACCCGAACCCGTATTATAATAGGTGCATACGAGTAAGTCAAATATTTAATTTGTGGCGTTTCAACCTCGCCGCTTTTTCTTATTGTTCTTCTTTCTTTTCTCAACCACTGGATCAAGCACAACTTCAACATAGCATATTTGGGTCTGGTTCGGAGCTGAACTCAATGAAACAACAATTGCAAAAAGAAAAGTAAACGATGAAGAAAGACCGGTATACCATCCATCGGGTGTTCAACTATCGTAAGTTATGTTCTACAAAGAAGAGGCACTTACGAGAGTTTAGCACCCTATGGTCGAACGACCTTCACCAGATACCGACACTGCGATGCAGAGTGAAAAAACAAGAAGACAGACAGCCCGATCAGAGGTATAGGTATAAGGTAGTAGCATTCTTCACCCTTTCTTCATAGTAATGTCTGCAGTCTGTGTTATTATTTTTTTGACATGTCCTTCGTTCTAAGGATAACTTTTATCTGTCCAAACGAATATTATTTTGTTTTTTTCTTCTGTCTATGCATATATATATATATATATATATATATATATATATATATATATATATATATATATCTACCTATATTATATATATCTATATCTATATCTATATCTATATCTATATCTATATCTATATCTATATCTATATCTATATCTATCTTTATGAGTCAATACATCTATTAATGCTTCCTTCTTTGAATCCATCCATGTACATATCATTTACCAATCTATCTATCTATCTATCTATCTATCTATCTATCTATCTATCTATCTATCTATCTATCTATCTATCTATCTATCTATCTATCTATCTATCTATCTATCTATCTGTCTATCTATCTATCTATCTATCTATCTATCTATTTATCTATCTATCTTTCTATGTCCCTCCCCCCCCCCCTCTCTCTCTCTCTCTCTCTCTCTCTCTCTCTCTCGCATACATCCATAGATTTGATCATCTCTCAAACCAGCCACTTTTCTTTCTCCTTTTTGCGCTTCATCCCCCTCTGTATCCTTCTTTCAGTAGTCTACGTAGCCTCTTCTCAAACTCTTGTTTCTAGAATATCACCTTTATCGCACTAACTTTTCATTTGACGTCCGACCCCACTTTGTTTACAGGCATGCTCAAATACAACCTCACGTGCACACAAATAGATAACGTCTAAGCAAGCACTCCAACATGCCCACAGATGCTCAATTAATATCATCGCCAAAATGAACAGATGTTATGATTTTTTTCTATTCTATCTACAGAATTGAAACACTTGCCTAATTTTCTATTCACTGAATCAAGCCTTCAGAACGAGTTATTTTATTTCGAGACAGAGTACGAAGAGTTATTAAAGGAAGGCAGAAGCAAGCATACATTTGGTTGGAGTTATTTTACTGTGCTAACATCTGCAATAAATGTATCACCGTGTCAATATCAGACACCGGCCCACCGAGCATGAGCTGCATTTTCAGTAGTTTGTGTTTAACTAATTAACTAACTGACTAACTGACTAACTAACTAACTAACTAATGAACTAACTAACGAACGAACTAACTAACTAACTAACTAACTAACTAACTAACTAACTAACTAACTAACTAACTAACTAACCAGGTGGCTAATTAACTAACTAACTAACCGACTAATTAACTAACAAACAAACAGACTGACAGACTGACTGACTAACTGACTGGCTGACTGGCTGACTGGCTGACTGGCTGACTGACTGATTAACTAACTAAAAAACAAACAGACTGACTGACTGACTGACTGACTGACTGACTGACTGACTGACCAATTAACAGAAAACGTTTTGAACAAACAAGCTATAATGCGTTCGTCCACCACCCTTCAACAGGTTACCCCCTCTCTAGAAAGCACTTTTCAGTTTTTGTTCAATGAAACTTCATATGTGTTGCTCATACGTCCATGCATAAGCTTAGACAAGGAAGATATTATTGACGGGCCTTGACCCTGAGAAATACATCTACATGGTTAGTTAAGGCAGCTTGAAACCTCCTAAGGGATATCACTAAATATCAATGCACTCGTTGGCTTCTCATACCGATCATGTAAGTCCATGTGAAATCACAAGAAATCAAGAGACCAACACCTGTGCACGCACCAAGTGCATGTACCCAGTAGCCAGTGGACATGTCACTTATCGTTTGATGCTATGGTAACGAATTTAACGAGAAGACATAGTTTTTATGCTTTCATCACAGATCATGAATAATGATGTCTTTAGATCAAAGAAATGGGGGCTCAGTAACTCAACAAGTTTGGCTTTCTTCTGTCAACCAGAAGTTCTGGAGTTCGATCCCCGCCGGCGTCGGGTTTTTTCAATGCAGAACTCATAATTTCTGTTTGTAGCGATATCAGTCCAAGAATAAAAATATGTACTAAGAAAGCAGCTCTAGTCAGAGTTCGGAACGATTCTTACTGCATTTGCAACACAATTAAGTCATGTGCGTGCCAAAGATAAGAGGTGTTACGAAATAATAAAACGCAAAAATGGAAAAAAAGAAGGAGAGGAGATTAGAAAAATAGATGTCTGGTATGAAAGAAGGATCAAGCCACACCAAAGCACCCACCAACCACCCATTCTCTCGTCAGAATTCAGCAAATTTGTCGTCAGTTTATATCCGTCTACAGTTATGTAATTATTTCAGTTCAACTAGCAGGGACCAAACGACTGCCATCGTGTTGTGAATCCCAGTACGCTTCTCTATGAGAACCACTCTCCTTGTACGTTGTGTTGGCCACTCCGACGGAAACATCTCGCCACAGGAAGAACGCTTTGCGCAGGCGTGACGTCTGTGTCTGTGGGAGTCCACGAGTTTACATAACAGCACAGAAAGGCACAGGGTCTTGTAATCTTAGACGCGCCTTATCAACGTTGACCGCGCCAGGAGAGATTTGCTTACACTATCTCCTGTGATTCCCAGTCTAGGGACCCTCGAAAAAGGGTGTACCTCAGAATGAGTTATGGTCTTTGTAGACAAAAGGGGAAGGAAGATCGTTAGTATTTTCCTCATTATTTTTCTTGCTTTGGTGTTTGAGAGGAGAACGTAAGCACGTAGTTGGAAGACAAAAAGAGATTTTATATCGTGCTCTTTCCTTCTCCCTATACCCACTCTCGTCTTTAAGTCTATAAGAATTTCTGTATCAATTGACTGTCTGTCTGTCTGTCTGTCTGTCTGTCTGTCTGTCTGTCTGTCTGTCTGTCTGTCTGTCTGTCTGTCTGTCTGTCTGTCTGTCTGTCTGTCTGTTTGTGTCTGTTTTTGTCAGTCTGTCTGTCGGTTTCTAAGTCTGTCTGTCAGTCTCTCCAAAACAAACACTAACAAAGGCGCTTCAAATTGCACTGTGTACAAAAGTCAGTCTTGTTTCGAGTATTTTTGTCCCTCTGCCCGCCACTCTCTTATACATACAAAAACAAAACAAAAAATAAAACCCTACAAT